CAAACCAGATATTAGGCCATGTCACAGGCTCAATGTATGCAGCCCAACCAATATCATAGAAAAGATGTTCCATGACAATTTTCTTCTGACCATAAATTAAGCAACTGCACCTGCTAATGAACTACAAATTCACCAGGAATTTGAATCCATTCGTTAATGTTATTCTAGCAGTTTTCAGGTTACCCTTGAAGGATATACACTATGGCAGTTTTTTTTATTATGGATTTCTCTGCACATCAAAGGAAAGACAAGAATCTTATAGCCCTTATCCTATATATGTGTGTGTAAATACTTATTAGTTCAATGAAATGCCATAAATCTTTAATGATCTAAGAAAATTGAGATTGGGTAAGTATTGGCTTCTATGAAATTTGAGTAAGTATATTAGTTTAGTGCATGCAAAATGCCTAAAAGTTATTTTCATTTTACATTTCAGAAGAAAAGGTCTAATTCTTAACCTTTCATCAGCCGTTGGCACCTTTCCTTGTCCTTTATATGCAATCTATTCTGCATCTAAGGTATGTCTTGAATTTTTTTTTTTTTTGTATTTCAGATTCTATCTATTGTTATTGGTTTTATGAGACTAAAAAATACCTTGCCATAGTGGAGTTGGATTTCCCTAAAGGGCGATCTGAACAACTGTGCGATATTCCTGATGTTCTTTTCTAAAAGCGGAAATCAGACATCATATATCTCCATTACAAGACTGTGATGATCTCTGCACAGGTTATTCAGAGCCCTGATGTTAGAGAACGTGGAAAGCCAGAGAAAGTGGGGTTTTTTTTCCTCTCATGAAATGATGAAGTAAAAATATAGGACAACTTCCTATCAGCTAATGTACACAGTTATTTGTTAGTCTGCTAGCACAAATTAAGCAAGTCCTAAGCAAAGGCAGAAACTTTGTCTAAAGTGTATTTTTGTTTTAATCCCACATTACTTTTAAAAAAAGTTACTAGAAAATAAATATGATTTGCCCAAAACAAGGGGGGGAGAATTGGGTAAAGTGTGTCAGTTTTATTTTGAGTAATTTCATCTTTCTTCCCCATTATTATGATAGCAAGATTGTTTACCTGTCCCAGTTCTTAAATTGTTATTCCTTTTTCAAATGTTTATTTGGAATACCCGAACATGTTAGTTATAAAAATAACTCCCAGTTCACTAGAAGGAAAGAATGATCAGTTTTTATATATGTAGCCCTCTTGTGATTGGGATTCCTGGATAATCCTGTTTTCCAAATTAACATACATATTGAGGATGTCTCAAGGGGTGTTTTATATCTGAATTAACTAATCTGAATTTGGGCGCAACTTTCTATATTCTCAATAGGAAAAAACTATTCAGCAATGGCACTAGGTAGTGATAGGAAGGAAAAAAATGGAAAGATTTTGAAAAAGGGCCTTGAATGAAATTAGGTTTTAGATCTCCCAAATAATTTGACAAATATGTACAATCAATGTCATATTCTTTAAAGCTGTCCCTTGATTTCTCCGTAATTTTACCTAGGCTTTTGTATATACATTTTCCAAAGCACTTCAAGTGGAATATAAGTCAAAAGGAATTGTGATACAGGTAATTACATTTCTTTTTTTCTTTTTGCAACAAGCATCAAATTAACTGAATAGATTGCATGTTTGGGGCTTTGGAAATTTTTAGCGTTTTCTTTTCTCCTGCTTATAAAAACTCCTTTTCCTTCTTTTTCCAATGAAGTATGAACATGTTACAGTTTACAACATCTGAAACAGTGACTGTTATTTTTCTCCTTATTTCAGGCAGTGACTCCCTTTGCGGTTTCTACTCCAATGATCATGCATAAGCA